TTGGGGTGGCTTGTTTCCCAGCCATACATAACTAGGACACATGTATATCCTGTGTATCCATGTATCTAAACACCAGATAGCAAATGATGAGTTTAAGAGAGGGACAGAGAATTAGATGTAGAGTTCCTAGAGAGTCTAAACAGCCAACCTACACCTTTTAGCATTTACAGATAAGCATCAAGCCCTAGTTCCCTGAGCCTCTCTAACTTCAGGGATACATATTGTGTTGCATGAGTGTTTTGTTGAAGCCCTGCACTCTTAAGATAACATGGGAGAAGCACTTCCCTCCTTCCTCTTTGTAATTCCTTCTCAGTCCCCACCTCTCACCACTTTTCAGTCCTCTTTCACGTAAGTAAAGCATTTAAGAATCAGGAGACCTTTTCTTGACCACCTACTCTGGAATTTTTGCATGGAGCTCTCTTTGGACTATACCATCTATAGTCTTTGTGCCTCCATCCAAACCAAGACTGGAAGAGCTTTGTTGTTGCTGTTCTGTATGAGCACATACCCATTTCTTATAATACTGGAAGGAAACCAATTATATCTAGTCATAAGCTGAACACCAGATTTGCAAATGATTTTATTTTCTTCTCCAGATTTTTTTATTTTCCCACATTTTTCATGATGACCTTTATTATTACATTGCCAATCAAATCCAAAACAAGGACAGCCTTTTTAAGGGCAGATTAAATTCCTGGCTTCATTTGGAATCCAGGGAATGGGAAGGGGTTTGGGAGCAGTTAGCAGGAGGGCAGCATAAGTGGAGCCTGTGCTGGAATGGGAGACCAAGACAGCCATTGAGAAAGGGCTGGGCTATGATTTAGGATGCAGTGGAGCAGAGGAGAGTGTCAGGGAGAGCGTGCGATTCATGCCTACAGCACAGTTCAGACAGCTTCTGGGATGCTGGAAAAACTGGCTCCCTGCCGGGGACATCAATGGTGTCACAGCAGCTGCCCCACCTGGCCCAGTGGTATTTCCTAGGGGCAAAGAGAGGCAGTCAAGCCCTCTTCTTTCCCACATCCACCCTGGCCTTCCTGGTCAGGCAACTGATCCCCGCTTCCTTAAACCAGTACTTGCCAAGAGTATTGCAGATTTTAGGATCTTGCCACTGGAACACCTGAGCAGCACCTTTGAGCAGAGCCTTTGGCATCTCTTCATTCATTCATTCATTCATTCATTCATTCATTCAATGACTGGCTTCTGTTACGCATCTTCTATAGGCCAGGCCTGTTCTGATGTGCCCAGGTATGACTGTGGCACAATTCATTTCCTCTGGGACCTTACGGATGATTAACAAGAAACGCTTGGCCTTCAAGATGCGACAGGCAAGGGTTCAACAATCCTGAAGCCCTCCCAGAGACCTTAAGACAAGCAGCAGCCAGGCTGCTAGGCAGGACTGAGCCTGGAGCTAGCGACTGAGCCCAGCCTGCAGCCACACCAATGGCAGTCATTCCCTCCTTCTCCTGCAGGGTCCAAGTCAGTGGCTCCCACTACATGCCTGAGAGTTCTTTCCACCTTTCCTTTATATGGGCCTGCTTTTTGCAGGAAAAAGTAACTGCCCTAGCTCACAGGGACTGCACGGACTTCATGGGATTCAAGAATCTCCCTAAATCGTAAGACATGCATCTGTGCATATTTCAGGGAGAGTTCAAAGCTTTCTTGAGATAATCAGGACCACAACTCCAAAAAAGTTTAATGACATGGTTTCAGCCATGTGTACACCTTTGGGGGTAAATGAGTAATGTACAACCCGTCTAGAATAATACGATGGACTAACTCACGCTTCCACTGCACTCACTATGGCCAGATGCTATTCTAGGACTTTACAGATGTCAGTTTACTGACTCTTCTTGACAACCCTGAGATTTAGGGGCAATTATTACCCATAGTTTACAGATGAGGACACTGAGGCAGAGTTAAGTAACTTAAGTAGTGGTGGAGTCCAGATTCAACCCAGACAGTCTGGCTGTCCACCACTGCTGGGATGGGAAGGGAAGAAGGAAGAGCCCATTGAGCCTGATGTGGGGCTCGGAACATTTGAGGGTGCTGCCTCTGCCCTTCATATCAGTTTTTCTGATTAGTGATTATTGCCTCTCATTTGGCAGGTGAAAAACTGAGGTTCAGAGAGGTGGAGTGACTTGCCTGAAGTCACACATCTCAGCAGTGAGGGAGCCTGTCTGATGCCAAAGCTCAACCTCTGTCCAGAGTGTCCCAGGGGCAGGCACCAGGTACTAAAAGGCAGTGACTGTGTGCTCATGGCAGGGACAAGCTGTCCATCCCCTGGGCTGCAGCCAAGTACATGGAACCCCTGGAATCTGTAGCATCAGCCCCTAACTCACTGAAGAAGCAAGACTAAAAGAGCAAAACCCCAGACTGTAGAGCATTGTAAGGGGAATGATGTATTTTCACATCCATCAGAGCAAAAGTCCATGGCCATCTTTCACTCACTGACTCACTCAGTCAACATCCGTAGAGCATGTCTCTTGCACCACATTCTGCTCTAGTGCAGGGTACAGCAGTGAGCAAAGTAGGAGCTGCTATTCTGGTGGCAGGAAAGGTCTGTCCACATGGAGAAGCAGCAGGTGCTGGGAAGGAACATGAGCTTCATGTTCAGTGGCCCCGGTGCAGACCCTGACTCTGGAATCTGAGCTAACAATGTCTTCAGGCTTACATTGTCTCATTTATAAATGGGCCACACATAGTACTCCTAGAGTGTGTAGGCAAGAGAAAGAGAGAGATGAGTTGGGGAAAGCGAGAATCCACTGAGACAGTAGCTCTCACTCTGCCTGACCCACCAGCTTCTACTCTTGTCCTGGTGTTGACCCATTTTGGGCCTCAGGCCAGCTGGCTCCAGGGCTGTGCTTGTGCTTGCTCTGCCATCCCATGTGTCTCCATCGCTCAGGGATCCCAGCCCACTGTGCTGCTCAGTGGTATATATTCCACTTACCTTAAGGCCCAGCAAGCTGGAAACACACCCAGAAAGTCTGCTAGAGGATGCCTGAATGGTCAAGGTCATCTCAGTCAGGACACCCAGGGCCAGTTTGCTCCCTGCAGTCCTTCCCCACATGGCGTGAGAAATGGCTGCCCCAGGAGGATATAAAGGTGCAAAGGTGCAGAGGTTCACTGATTACTGGGGAGAGAACAATTCCATGGCTAAAGAAGAAAAATGCAAGTTGAATTCCTGGCCAAAGGAGGTTCCTGGTCCCACCCCATGCCACCCTTGCCCTGGGATGTACTGTCCTTATGGTATGACCTATGAGATCTCAGTGGACTCTATCCTCAGAAATCACAGAGTCCAGGATTGCAAACTGGAGGCCCCGCTGCAAGGCCCCGCCCACAAGTGGGTCTTGCCTGGCCTGTAGAGAGCTGACTCTCTCCCTACATCCCCACCATTCCCCACCGTGGCACCATGGAGTCTTCCTTATCTGGTCTATGAAGGCGCTGGAGCTTGCTGCCCCGTATGATCCAGCCCCTCATGTTGTAGGCGGGAGGTGGATGACCGAAGCTCAGAGAGGGAGTAAATGAGCTCAACCTCACACAGCCAGTGAGGGGCCGGGTGGAGACCAGACCTTCCAAGGGGTTCCCCAGGCCCTCAGGGAGCACCAAGCACCAGGCAAATCTCCATGCACTGTACAAACATGAAGAAGTGAACCCTCTTGGGGTTCCCCAGGTGGGAAGTGGGGTGACTTCTTGGGAGGGGGTGAAGCTACTTCTGGTGAGTTTTCCTTGTCTAGGCAATGCTGCGCCCGTGGCCTGTTTGTTAATAATTACCTGGTTGGGAGACAGTGGGTGGTACTAAGAAGGCCTGGTTTGACCAGTCCTCCTGGGCTTGACAAGACAGAGCTGAGACAGCTACCCAGGGGGTCCACTCCAGGACAGACTGTGCCGTGAGTAACCCTCTGAGACAATGGAGACGAGAGAGCCTCTAGAGGGAGGGTGACAAACTGTTCTTTTTTGCTCAAGACTGAGAATTCTTCTAGGACATACTTTCAGTGCTAAAACCAGGAAGGTCCCAGGCAAGCTGGGACACTTGGTCACTCTTGCTAGAGGTGAGAAATACTCAGGCTAGAAAGCCCCCGACCTCGGATCCATGGGCACTGGTGGGTGACTGTGCCTGGAGACCCAGAAAAGCCTCCCCCAGGGATACACAGCTGGTACAGGGCAGCGCTGACTGGGGGCCAAGGTCTTCTGGCTCCCAATCCAGGTGATCTTGGGAAGTTCATGCCGAGGGGAGGTGTGTCTCTGAGTGATGCGGTCCTATGTATGTTTCTAAATGATCCCTCCAACTGCTGAGTGGAGAACAGAGAGCAGAAAGTCTAGGAAGTTTTCTGCAAGGGTCTAGGTCAGGGGTCAACAAACCACAGCTTGTAGGTCAAATCTGGCCCACTGCCCTTGAGCTAAGAATGCAAGATATAAAATATAAATATAAAATATAAGTGATGAGTATAAAAGGTAAATATACAAAGGGTTGAAAAATCAGTAGAGGAACAACATTTTGTGACATAGGAAAATAATATGAAATTCACATTTCAGTGTCCATAAGTGAAGTTTCACTGAAACACAGCCATGCCTGTTCATGCACGTCCGGTCTGTGACTGTTTCCAGCTGCCACAGCACAGTTGAGTAGTGGCAGCAGAGACTGTGTGGTCGGCAAAACCACAGATATTACTATCTGGCGCTTTGCAGAAAAAGTTTTCTGAGCCCTGGTTGAGGATCATAGCAGTGGAGCGGGGGAGAGGCTGAAGAACCTACAGGGAAGTCTAGGAGTTGGACACCAGCTTGGGCAGCATGGTGAGACCCTGACTCTACAAAAATTTAGCTGGGTGTGGCTGTGCACGCCTGTGGTTACAGCTACTTGGAAGGCTGAAGTGGGAGGATCACCGGAGCTCAGGAAGTCAAGGCTGCAGTGAGCCATGATTACACCATTGCACTCCAGCTTGGGTGACAGAGTGAGACCCTGTCTCAAAAAATAAAACAAAATAAAATAAAATAAAATAAAATAAAATAGAATAAAATAAACCCAACCCTGCAGGCCATGGAAGTGGATTAAATGGATTGTGGGTGGATAGAAGGCTAGAGGCTTTTTGGCCTGACAACCAGATACTGGTGGGACCATTTGATGGGGCAGGAGCAGATTTGGGGGAGAAACTGAAGCATCCTGTCTTGGACAGATGTTCATTATGAAAAGGTACCAATTCTATGCCCACAACTTTGTCCTGATCCTCATTTTAATAAGTGAGGACACTTGTTAAACATCCATGTCCTCATCTGTACGGGGTAACAATACAAAGACCAGTTCTACTGACCTCTACAGGAGTGGGAGGGTCAAACTAAATGGCATGAAAGTGGTTTGTAAACGATATAAAGCACTCCACAGATGTTCGTGGAGCAGACACTGAAATAAACTCTGATGATTGCCATCCTCTATGCAAAATCACTGCGCTAATGAAATCAACTCATCTGAAAGAGAAGTGTGGGAGAAGCAGCACCTGAGTCTGGGGATGTGGGTTCTGGCTAGGATACTTTTTAGGTAGGTGACTTGCGTGAGTCACTTTGGGAGCCTTCGTTTCCTGCTCTGTTGGGTGAGAATGGAGTCTAGTGCTGTGCAGAGCTCACACAGGTGGGAAGCACAATGACATGATGGACGCGAGGAGTGTGCCTTGTATGTCTAAAACATTGCCATCCAATAGTGTTGCTGTCACCATACATGTGGAAGGTGGTGGGCGTTACATTGCCTTTCACAAGCTCATCTGCCTGAGCTGAGGGTGTCACTCACGATCTCCGGGTGCTGGCCCACTGCCCGCCTTCTCAGCAGGGCCAGGTGTTCTGCTGGGGGAATTTCCTGGGCATTCTCTTCCCTCCCATAGGCCTGAGAGTGCAGAGGATGCACCTTATCGACTACCTGCTCCTCCTGCTGGTTGGACGACTGGCCCTTTCTCATGGCCAGCTGCACGTTGAGCATGATGGTGAGAGTTGCAGTAACAGCTCCTCCCACCGGCAGATTCTGGAGACAGGTGAGGGCTCCCCCAGCCTCAAGATCGCCCCTGCCAATGCTGACTTTGCCTTCCGCTTCTACTACCTGATCGCTTCGGAGACCCCGGGGAAGAACATCTTTTTCTCCCCGCTAAGCATCTCGGCCTCCTATGCTATGCTTTCCCTGGGGGCCTGCTCACACAGCCGCAGTCAGATCCTCGAGGGCCTGGGCTTCAACCTCACGGAGCTGTCTGAGTCCGACATCCACAGGGGCTTCCAGCACCTCCTACACACTCTCAGCCTCCCCAGTCATGGGCTGGAAACACGCGTGGGCAGTGCTCTGTTCCTGAGCCACAACCTGAAGTTCCTTGCAAAATTCCTGAATGACACCGCGGCCTTCTATGAGGCCAAACTCTTCCACACCAACTTCTACGACACTATGGGCACAATCCAGCTTATCAATGACCACGTCAAGAAGGAAACTCGAGGGAAGATTGTGGATTTGGTCAGTGAGCTCAAGAAGGATGTCTTGATGGTGCTGGTGAATTACATTTACTTCAAAGGTGAGAGTCAGATCATTGGTGTGTGCTAAATCCACACCCCCACCTCCAACCCACTAATTTGTTGACTGGTTAAATATATTTTTACAAAAGGGTAAGTAAAAAGGTTGTGTCTGATAGAGTTAAGCAGCCCTCAGAGAATGCAATGTTAGAATGTTGTATGTTGAAGACTCTGTAGTATTGAGGTTTCCATTCCTTCCTATCTTTAGACATATTTTCTTATTTATTTTCTTAATAAAAGTAATGTACAAAATGCATTATAGCCAGTGATCATGAGTCAAGTTGCTGGATTCATATCTGAGCTCAGCCTCTACCAACAGTGCAAACAGGTCAGCTTGTTTGCTCAAAGCAGGGATAAGACTAATCTCTACTTCAAAGGTTGGCTTTGAGGATCAAATGATTAACCCATGTGTATACTCCTTATAAAAGGATCTAAAGAGATGGACAAACTACAGTTCCTGGGCCAAATGTGTTCAGCCACTGGTTTTGTAAAGTTTTATTGGCACACAGCCAGGCCCATTCATTTATGTATTGTCTGTGGCTGATTTTGTGCTACAATGGCAGATTGATTCATTACTGCAGAGATGGAATGATCTGCAGTGCCTAAAACAGTTAATATCTCTATAAACTTTTTTGTTTGTTGACCCCTGACCATTTTATGTACTCAATAAATAGCAACTATAATTCATGTAATGATAACAATGCTCATTTTGAAGCTTTACAAATACATAAAAGCATAAAGGAGAAAGTAGACATAATCTCTAGTCCTACCACTCAGAGGCAACAAATGTTAATATTTTAGCATCTTTTCTTCACCCTCCATTCACACACATATATGTCCACACAGTTGATATCACAGTGTGTGAACAATTTTGTACAGTGTAGATTAGTCAGGATTTCATCACAGAAGGAGAGCCATCTCAAGTCAATGGTAAGGAGATTGTTCTAGGAATTAGGCCCCAAACGACTGTGGCTGGGAAAGTGAAGGTCTAGAGGAAAGAAGAGTTGGGAGGACAGAGAGAAAGTTGCCGATGCAAGCGGACAAGTCAGAGCTTGGAGGGGAATCTATATGCCAGGCTCATCCAGCCAACAGAGTGCTGCCATGGAGGGGAGCATCACTGCGTAGTTTCTGGTGGTAGCCTGGGGCTGCTGTTGTTTAGTGGGGTTAGAGTTGGGAAAAGGAGGTTGGAGACAAGCAAGGGCAAACTGGAGCACACAGAGCACTGCTGAGTCTGACCATCGTCATATCTGACCGCCAGGGCCTTCAGAGAGCAATTTACTTTGAAATCTCACAGTTCTAACCAGCTTGAACCCAGAATTTACAGGGAACAAAATTCTAGGGAGCAATAATGATTCAGCCAAATTCGTCATTCCATGTAATTTGCATGTGGAATTTTCATGCACTATTGAAAACTTTTTTTAAAAAAGCTTTATTTTGAGGCTGGGCGTAGTGGCTCACACCTATAATTCTAGCATTTTGGGAGGCCAAGGCAGGTGTATCTTAAAATCAGGAGTTCAAGACCAGCCTGGCCAGCATGGCAAAACCCTGTCTCTACTACTAATAAAAAAAAAAAAAATTAGCCGGGCTTCATGGCACATGCCTGTAATCCCAGCTACTCAGGAGGCTGAGGCAGGAGAATCACTTGAACCCAGGAAGTGGAGGTTGCTGAGATTGCGACACTGCACTCTGGCCTAGGCGACAGACTGAGACTCCATCTCCAAAAAAGAAGCTTTGCTTTGAAATAACAAAACTTTTAAACTTAAAAAAAATTAACTAAGGAAGGAAGAGAAACAGTAGTATGGGTTTCACTGTCAGGAAGACATTGATTAGAATCCCAGATCCCTTGCTTTTCCCTGGATGAAAATTCCTGGCATGGAGACCTTAGTCCATTCACCCTACCTGCCACCACCTCATTGCACATCGCCTGCTGTCCTTGCTTCCCTCCTCACACTGCATGGCCATCATTTTGGTCACTTCCTTGCAAATACTCTGAAGTCTTAACTTCCTTGGTTTTCCTTCCCTCTATCATACTTACCCTCTAAAACTGCAAACCTGCTTAAACCTAAAGGTCTAACTCGTCTACATCTGCACCCAGCAGCTGAATGTGGTTGAAGAAAAACATCCAACTAGACTGATGGTCTCACATGATATTTGTGAATACACATCTTCATTGATCTCTCTACACTGTCCAGCAATCCTACTTACATATCTCCCCTCTCCAAAACAACTAAAATAACAGATTCGTCCTTCTCAAATGTCCTCCCCACTCATGACTTTCACTTAAAAATCTTGTCTCACTCGTCATTGAGAAAACAGAATCAGTTAAACAGGAAATCTCTCATCTTCTCATCTCTAAATCTACTCACCTCCAAATCTTCTCACCTCCAAATCTACTCACCTCCCTGCATTCGAACCCACAAGCTCAGACGTCCTCCTCTCATCATGGCAGTAGTGACCCACCTCTCACGGAAGGCCAACCCCTCTGCTCACACTCTGCTATCTCCTCTCTCCTTCTCAAGGATGCTTACCTAACAATGAATCCCTCTTTCCAGCATCCCTGGTTTCTTTTCTATCAATCCTATTCACATATTAGAAAATGAACATCCTCTGCTATCTCTCATTTTAAACTTTAAATGAGGCCTAAGGGATCCATTCCCCAGGCATGTCAGGTTTTGAATGGTCAAAATGGGACACCTTGATGAGCTCATAGGGCAGGATCTGGAGCGACTCTTTCAGTAGCTCGGAACACCAGGTGGCCTTCCCTGGCTGGAGGACTGACTCTGTGGCCCACAGATGTCCTGTACCTTCTTTTCATCTTCCCTTCAGCCCTATGGGAGAAACCATTCATTTCCTCGAGGACCACTCCCAAAGACTTCTATGTTGATGAGAATACAACAGTCCAGGTGCCCATGATGCTGCAGGACCAGGAGCACCACTGGTATCTTCATGACAGATACTTGCCCTGCTCAGTGCTACGGATGAATTACAAAGGAGATGCAACCGTGTTTTTCATTCTCCCTAACGAAGGCAAAATGAGGGAGATTGAAGAGGTTTTGACTCCAGAGATGCTAATGAGGTGGAACAACTTGTTGCAGAAGAGGTAATCAGTGTGCTATGGGGGCTGAATCTACAGTACTATCCATCAAATATACCTTTCTAATGAAAGACAGTGCCCCAAAATAGGGAGTGATTGCCAATTATGAGAGAATTCTCACTTGCTCTGAGACCTTCCATGGGCTTCCTTTAAATGATGAACTCTCCTATTATATTTAAAATATGACTTCTCCCTCGTTAGGGAAAAAAGAACCACAGTAGGGGTTCAGAGTCCTGGTTCTAGACATAGCTCTTCCACTGCACAAGACTTGGGTCAAGTGACTCTGACTCTTGGGGGGTTACCTGTGTGCAATGAAGAGGTAGCCCCTCTGGCCCAGAAGGTTGACTAAGCTGCCATAGCGCGATTCAAAAACACTCCATCCAGCCACCCAAGGAATTAACAGGAAGGCTTCCCATCATGCTAGCTATGATTGGAAAAAGTCTTCAACCATATATAAGAAAAGGATCCTAGCCCAAGGGCACATGTCAATAGAAAAATCACACAACTTTCATGGTGGAGGGAATCCAATACAAAGAAATTAACTGGTTCACAAAGAGTAAAACCCACAGGGCTATAACAGAGGCAAGGGCAAAACTGCCACCTGGCGAGACTTACATCTGTCTCCCTGGGCACCTGAACACCCACAGAAAGCAACCTCTGAAGAGGGGCTACCACAGACAGGAGATCCCACAGACAGCAGGCCCTGGGGACAAAGGAACCTGGCCTTTCAACACCTGTTTGTGGAAGGTAGTCTGAGCCAAAGCTGTTTGTGGGGATAGAACTCAGATGGAATACAGCCAGCTAAAGAGGGCCACCAAGGAGGGCTGTGCCCAGCAGGGATCCTGGCTTGTTCATTAATCTAATGTTTTAACCCAATGCCCCTTTCAGGAATTTTTACAAGAAGCTAGAGTTGCATTTCCCCAAGTTCTCCATTTCTGGCTCCTATGTATTAGATCAGATTTTGCCCAGACTGGGCTTCATGGATCTGTTCTCCAAGTGGGCTGACTTATCTGGCATCACCAAACAGCGAAAACTGGAGGCATCCAAAGTAAGTCATCAACCCCTAAAGAACTCTGCGGGGCACTTGTGCCCATGGGAGTTGCCAGGCGATGGGGTTCCCAAGCTGCCACATGGAGTCTCAGAGCCTGAGTGTGTTCAGTCATCTACAGACATCAGCATCCACCAGTCAACCAGCCCTGGACGTGGTGCTCGGTGCTGGGATATAGTGTCGAATCAGCCCCCCAACTCAGACAGCTCTCCCAGACTAGTCAGGGACACAACGTCTTCATAGAGAGATACATGCAATGATAGAAAATGGAGGCGAGGCCGGGCATGGTAACTCACACCTGTAATCCCAGCACTTTGGGAGGCAGAGGCGAGCAGATCACTTGAGGTCAGGAGTTCGAGACCAGTCTGGCCAAAATGGTGAAACTTCAACTCTACTAAAAATACAAAAATTAGCCTGGTGTGGTGGCAGGTGGTAGCACCTGTAATCCCAGCTACTCAGGAGGCTGAGGTACGAGAATCACTTGAGGCTGGGAGGTGGAGGTTGCAATGTGTCCAGAGATCAGGCCACTGCACTGCAGCCTGGGTGACAGAGTGAGTGAGACTCTATCTCAAAAAAAAAAAAAAAAAAAAAAAAAAAAAAAGAAAGAAAAAAAAGGAGGAAACAGAGAGGAGAGACACAGGTGAGGTTGCATTGGGTGCATCTGTATGAGGGAGACTTCGTAGATGAGAGAAAGAGACTCAAGACTTCTGCTAAGAAAAGTGTGTGAGGGGGTAGAGCCTTGGCTTTGAGCTTGAATTCTGGTTCTTCCTCTTATGTTATTGAAGGGGTACTAGTTTCTGAGTTTATATTCCTCACTTTTAAAATGGGCATCATACTGCTGATCTCATAGGATGGCTATGAAGATCAAATAAGATGCACGCAAAGCCCCGAGCACAGAGCAAGCATTCATTTAATGAGAACTGCCGTGACTGTGTGTGGCAGGAGGTCTCCAGCTCAAAAATCCCCCCAAATGAAATTCTTGCTGTGTTATCCCCAAGAAGTGACCTTGCAGGCTATAAAGGGCAGTGTATTCCCTAGCAGTTTCTGACTCTTGCAGTCTTGTCCAGGCCCCCTCCCTTGCTGGCTTGGAGATAATGCTTGTGATTTTCCTCCCAGAGTTTCCACAAGGCCACCTTGGATGTGGATGAGGCTGGCACTGAGGCTGCAGCAGCCACCGGCTTTGCGGTCAAATTCTTCTCTGCCCAGACCAGTCGCCATGTCCTGCGGTTCAACCGGCCCTTCCTTGTGGTGATCTTTTCCACCAGCACCCAGAGTGTCCTCTTTCTGGGCAAGGTCGTCGACCCCACGAAACCATAGCCCTCCCAGGGCTGCTCATCTGTTCCAAGCAGGAGGATGCGGCAGGGGAGGGCTGGGTGTGAGTAGTTCTGTGTTTAGAGTGGGGACAAGGAAGACACCAAAGGTCCAGGAGTCCAGGACAGCAGGTGCTGGCCCGTGGGGAGTGGGGAGCGGCACTGAGATGGGCAGGCGCTGGACATTCCACACCCTGGCACTGTGCAGCCTCGGGCAAAGCATCCAACCTCTTGGAGCAAGTTTCTGCCTCTGGAAAGGGGCGGGCCCTTTCCACAACAGGGCAGTTGTTCCGAGTAAACAACACGATGCCACGAAGACCCTGGTTCAGTGTCTTGTACGTGGTAGACACTCAATAAATGCGTCCTCTGCCTGCCCCTCCGGGGTTTGCCCCAGACTCCCCTGGCAGACCTGGTCCCAGACACAAGGTATGAGGAGCTCCAAGTCCCGCTCCAGCAGGTTACCCAGGTTGATGGGAAGGGGACAGGGTGTGGGCAGTCAGCTGCCTCAGGCAGGGCTAGTAGCTTGCTCCAGAGCAGGGGCTGAGAAAGCCACGGAAGGGCAGACACCACCAGGGCGGCTTCCACAGGGACCTGGTCAGAAGAGCCCAGTGGGGCACTGCCCTCTCCTGTGGCTACGGAGATGTGGCCCGTGGCTCTCCCAGGACAGTGGCTGTGGCCACAGAGCACATTGCCGACCCAGAGGCTCTTGCTTTTGCATCCAGGCTCTGTGCTCTGGATCTTCGGGCAAATCCTCACCCTGTTGGCCCTCAGTTTCCCCACCTTTCTGACCCAGGTGGTCCAGCTCAGACTGGTTGAGTATGTGGAGTGGACCCACCCAGAGTCTGTGAGAATAAACCACCCCTTCCACAGGGTAAGGCAGGTGGATGGGATGTGGTTCTGTTTGCCCTGAGCCTCGGTGATGTCTGGCAAATGCATTTCTCTGGGCAGGACTCTGTGGTTTTCTTGGTGGCCAGGGCATCAGAGGCAGCTGGGTTCCAGCACCGTCTCCAGCCCTTGACCGTGGACATGGAGTTCCCGGGACAGTTAGAGCTGGGAACGGTCCAGCCAGGAAGGACGCCTCCTTTCCTTTTCCTCGGCCCAGCTCACCCTGTGCCTTCAGGGCCAGCACAACAGTTCCCACACGCTCTCCTATCAGCGCTGATCCTCCTGCCAGGCAGGTCATTTCACTCCCACTCGGTGGCGTCCAGCTTGCCAGCATGTTCAAAACCAGAATTCCTGGGTTCAAGTCCCAGCTGTGCTCCTTAGAAGCTGTGTGATCCCGGGGAAGTCATTTCACGTCTCTGGGCCTCAGTATATTCATCTATAAACTGGGATGATGATAACACTACTGACCTCATAGGGCTGTTGGGAGGATTAAACAGTGACTGTATATGTCAAAGTCTCACAACAGTGCTATGCAAACATTAGCTATATTTTTATTACCCTCATTCCAGCAGCCCTGACAGTCAGTGCTGCCACCACAGGCTCTGAGCTGGGGGTCTCTCCACAAAATCACACTGCCATCTGGGGCCCCCAAACCTTTTTCATGTTGCCACTTTCGCTACTCAGGAAAATTGACACTGAATCCTCACAAGGGGAAGTTCCAAAAAGGCAGAAGATTTATAGGCCTTTCTCACCACAGTGGTGCCTGAAGTTCCCAGCTGAGCTTCCGGAAGTTTTTCTAAATAAGCGTTCAGCTCTCAGCTCTCAGCTCTCCTCTCTTGGTAGATCCAGTGGGGGCAGAATGTTCCCCCAGAGTCTGTCCTGGACTGAAAGATTGGGGGCTGTTACTTTAGGACCAGCTCAAAGAATCTTCTAGGCTTCGGGAATCGTGGCTGCTTGCCATGTGCACTCTAGGGCGCTTGCTCTGTGTCCAGGAGGCCCAGGGCCGATACTGAAAACTCAGCCATGGACTTCCGAACAAGACCCAGCTTGCCCAGGCTCTTGGCTCTGGCAAGCAGGATGTCTCACTGTCACAAACCCAGAATTTTCACCAAGGAGAAGGTGACCAGGGGAACAGGCCGGAGAGCTGCCTCCGGTGTTGATGATTGTTTAAGAGTCAAAATATTCCAGTAATTGTGTGACATGGGGTTCCCTGGCCCAAATAGTGCTGCAACCACAGGAATAGGCTCGCTGCCAGGAAACCAGGAAACCGATATTTGGAGCAATAGACAGACTACTCTTGTATTGTGGAAAAGTCCTTGTGGAAGAGAGGAAGATGGAAGGGGAAAGCCCAAAGGGGTTCCTCTCCCTTCCTGCCCCTAAAACATAGCCCTGAGCTCGACATGAGTGCAGCCTCAGGAGAACTTGACGAGGAAATGTTCTGTAAAGGAAATTGCCTGGCGAGGCCATTTTGGGTTAGTTATACCAGCTCTGGGCTTCAGTAAGGAGAAGCTGTCCAGTAAATGCCTGAGGGCACCCAAGGCCTCTGGGGCTCAGGGGAATGCACGCCCTTGTTTCTACCCCTTGATTTTATTGGCCGAAAAGCAAGCCTGCTAGCTCAAAGAGTGATTCATTTCCCCCTGTGCCTTCTGGGAAGTTGGATTCTGTTTTTCAACAATCAGGCGAGAAATAAAGTAAGGCCCAGGCTGACTCGCTCCCTCCTCTGCCCCCACAGAGGCAGGTGGGTGAGCGAATTCCAGAGTGGAAGACAAGCCTGAAAGAAGGCCAAGGTCTAGGGTTACTATGGCAACAGCACGGCAGGGGGTGGTGATGTTGAATGACCGCAGCCCTGATGTGATGAAGGAGAGAGAAAGGAAGCAAGTCATCTTCGATTCAGCCTTGAGAGTGAAGCCTCCTTATTCTGATTAATCTCAACCCTCCTCTACTCAAAAATAGCTGAGGGCTCCGTATTGCCTACAAAATAAGGTTCAAAGCCTCTATCTACAGTCAAGGCCCTCCCTGATCTGGTCACCTCCTGCCTGTTCTGCCTCAGTTCCTCCTCTTGCTCTCATGTACCCAGTGGCTGCAGTCACAGAAAGTCTTGTTTTCCCAGGTCTCCCATCGTGTCCCACCTCTAAGAATCTGCACTCTCTCAAGATCTCACAGAAACCCCTCAGCTCCCTAAGGCAGACTGTCATCCCACCATCAGACATGGTTGGCCTGATAAGAATGTCTGCCCCCACCCCCACCATCGCTATTAGATAGGACATTTCAAAGGTGGGGCCCTGTTCACCCTGCATTCCCTCAGCCCACCTGGCCTCAGTGCCAACTGGAGATGAGAGAGGCCCAACTGGTATTTGTTGCATGAACGAATGAATAAATGAATGAATGGATAGAAAAGGTTGAGCCAGGAGCAAGGTCACCGACTATTTGTTCTGCATCACCACCCCTTGACATGGCCCTGGAATTGATTGGGCAAATATTTAGTTCAGCTCCTCAGATTTCAAAACGCCCTTTTGGAGCATTAAAAAAAATTAAAAATTAAAAAGACTTCATGCAGGAGATCTTGCCTCTTTAGAGCAGTGCCTGAGTCCAGTTTTCCCATTGCTGCTCACCTGTGGGGTCTCTCATTTGTGTAGCCTTTGTTACACCACTACAGAGGTATATCTCTCAACAGCAGCAGCGAGCGCTCGGAGGAACCCTGCATGTTTGTGAGTTCAGAAGTTATCTTCCAGCAGGAAAACAAGGTCTTTTTGTACTTTGCAACTGGGGGAAAGGGCAGAGGAGGCCAATGTGAGTGGCAGTGATGTAGCCTAGTGGAAGGTGACAAGTTTGCGTGACTCTAGTAAATTGGTGTGTAGAGAAATGCAGCATGGGTTTATTCGGGTTTTCATTCTTTCATTCAACAGCTAGTTACAGAGTAGGGTTTGGTCGTGTTTGAGATAGGAGAAAACAAACTTTTTCAAGTTCTCAACACTACAGTTCACCTGTGGTCACCAAAATGTGTGTGGAATTTCTCCAACCACCAAATTGTCCAGCAGACACTAACTGGGTGTCCTGCAGTTCAATTCAATTCAATTCCAACACTTTCTACCTGGAGATAACATCAGATCCCATCGGTTTAGGGCTCTGTCACACTAGACTGCCCCCACTTCAGATGCCAGTTGCAAGTAGTAGGCTGTCACCTATAGTTTATGACCAACTGGCTATAAAGCGAGATTCCCACAACTCCCTCCTCAAGTTCAGTTCATTAGCTAGGAGGGCTCACAGAAATCAGGGAAACACTTATACTTAATGGTCTATTTTATTAATAAAGCATATATATGAACAGCCAGATAAATGAGAGTCAGAGGGCCAGGTATGGGGTACTGGGCACAGAGCTTCCATGTCCTCTCCCAGTGTAACAAAAGATGTTCCTATCACCCAAGAAACTGCAAGGGATCCAGGAGCTCTTCATCAGATGCTGTTGTCACTCTGGAAATTACTAAGCTCTCGGGAATCAGGTCAAAGACCAAATACTAAACAAACAATTCTCTTAGTACCCTTATCTACAAGGGTGCTAGAAGCACTGTCTCAGGAACTCTAACCAGAGACTAAATATATATTTCTTACTATTAATATGTCACCGTTTCACAGGCTGCTAGCCAGGAAGCCAGAGGGACTTCCCCAGTGTAAAATTTGGATTCAGACAAGGCTGCAGTCTCAGTTTCTTCACTAACAGTGCACTGTGGGGCAATTGCTTTACCTGTTTGGGTCTTAATTTCCTCACCTGTACATGGTGGTGTCCTCTGGGCACAGCGACCCACTGCAGCTGTGGCAGTGGAAACGGGAGGATGGACATGGGATCCGCTGAAGACACAGACCTGGGAGTCCTTGGCTTCTGACTCCATGGAACAAGTGAAGGGCACACGGGTCTGCTTCATCCCTGACTGCCTACGAGCAGGCCATTCTCGAAGAAGAGGCAGAATTAATATGAACAGCTCCCGTGCTCTGAGCACCTGCAATGGGCAAGGCATGGTGCCGAGTGCTTGCCAGGAGGTATCAAGAGGCCACGAGCATCCAAGTATAGAACCTGGACTTTGGAACCAGTATGCTTAAATCTAAATCTGAAATCCAGCAATTACTGAGTGTATTTGTTTGCTAGTGCTGCTCTAAGGAAGGACCACAAATGGTGTGGTTTAACCAACAGAAATACATTGTGTCTCAGTTCTGGAGGCCAGGAATCTGAGATCAGTGAGGAAGAATCTATTCCACAGCTCTCCCCCAGCTTCTGAAGGTTTTCTGGCAATCTTGAACGTCCCTTAAATGTAGGAACATCATCTCAATCTCTGCTTTCCTCCTCCTGTGGTGTTCTTTCTTTATGAGTGCTGGTGTCCAAATTCCTCCTTTGTAAAAGAACACCAGTGATACTGGAGTAGGGGTCCACTCTA